CACCACTGTCAGTCATTTTCTTATAGTATTACATTGGATGTTCAAGGTCCACTATATGAGTGAGAGAGAACATGTGATACTCAGATCTTTGTTTCTGTGAGAGGTCACTCAGTATTATAGACTCTAGTTCCATCCAGGTTGCTGCAAAATTCATGATTTTGTTCTTTTTTATTGCTGCATAGTATTCCATCATGTATATGTACCACATTTTTGTAATCCAGTCCTCTTTTGATGGACAGCATGGTTGCTTCCGGGATCTTGCTATTGTGAACAATGCTGCGATAAACATACGTGTGCGGGTATCTTTTTTATAGAGTGATTTGAGTTCTTCAGGGTATATTCCCAGTAGAGGGATTGCGGGGTCATATGGGAGGTTGATATTTAGAGCTTTTTTTTTTAGGAATCGCCATACTGTTTTCCACAGAGGTTGTACTAGTTTGCACTCCCATCAACAGGCCCTTTTCGCCACACCCTCTCCAGCAACTGTTATTTTTTGAGTTATTAATAATTGCCATTCTGACTGGAGTTAGGTGGTATATCAGCGTGGTTTTGATTTGCATCTCCTTGATGATTAGTGAGGTTGAACATTTCTTCATGTGTCTGTTGGCTGCTCGAATGTCTTCCTTTGAGAAGTGTCTGTTCATATCTTTTGTCCATTTTATAACGGGGTTGTTTGTTTTCTTCTTTTCAGCACGTTTGAGTTCCTTGTAGATCCAAGATGTTAAGCCTTTGTCGGACCTGGAGTTGGCAAATACTTTTCCCAGTCTGTGGGCTGTCTTCCTGCTCTCTTGATGGTTTCTTTGGCTTTGCAGAAGCTTGTCAGTTAATGAGATCCCACTTGTCTATCTTATCTCTTATGGCCTGTGGGTTTTGGGTTTTGTTCAGGAACTGGATGCCAGTTCCAATTTCCATGAGGGTATGTCCTTCATTTTCTAAGGTTCTTATGGTTTGAGGTTTTACATTTAGGTCTCTGATCCATTTAGAGTTAATTTTTGTGTTTGGGGATAGATGGGGTCCTGTTTCAATCTTCTGCATGTGGTCATAGAATTTTCCATCAACCAATTTTCTGCTTTTACTTTCACTGAGTAATTTTAGACAAATTAATCTCCCAGAGGTTTAAATTTCTCATTGGCAAAAATAAGATAATAATATCTGCTTAAAAGTCTGTTTTCAGGATTAAATAAGAAAATATATGCAAAGTACTCAAAGTCTTTAGTGGAACGGATAAGTAAAATATGCTATAATCATACCAAAGAAGACTACAACAAAATCAGAAATAAGAAACTAGACTTACCTGCATTACATACAACAAATCACAAAAATACAGTGTATGTGAGAAAAAAATAAGTAAAATAGGATTTACATTACAATATAATGTATACAAATCTTAAAACACAGCAAAATCACTCTATTTTTTAAGCTATATATTTATTTACCAAAATAAATATGAAAAGAATAGACATAGAAGGATATATATTTTGAATGCACCGTAGTGGACACCTGCAGGAAATGGGAAAGAGTAGGGATCAGGGAGAAACAGGGAAAAAACAAAATAAAATGAAAAGCCTTGCCCTGATAAGTAATGTTGGTTTGTCAGGAACTGGCAAGAATAATTCATTCAATTTTCAACCAAAGGTCCCATAACATTATGTTACTATTTCTAATAGTAAAGGTTTCTTTAAAACCCTTCCGAGAGCCTCATTTAGCCTATATATGTGTATGTACAAACCATGAATTGCGAGTCACAAAAGAACTGTAATGATCATATAATCTAGTTCTGCCATTTTTTCACAACAGAAAGTGAAGTCCAAGAAGGGAAAGTAAAAGTTTAAAGATTGCCGGGTGCAGTGGCTCAAGCCTGTAATCCCAGCACTTTGGGAGGCCAAGGTGAGAGGATTGCCAGTCCAGGAGTTTGAAACCAGCCTGAACAACTTGGCGAGATCTCATCTCTACAATAAATCAAAATATTAATCGAGCATGGTGTTGTGCGCCTGGAGTTCCACCTACTTGGAAGGCTGAGGTGGAAGGATCACCTGAGCCCTGCAGGTCGAGGCTGCAGTGGCCGTGAGTGTACCACTGCATTCCAACCTGAGTGACAGAGTGAGACTCCAACCCCCCCCAAAATTGAAGATTACTGAGCTAGTTAGTGACTGTCATAGAAATGGCAACTGTGAAGCTTGAATTATACCAAGAAGGCCTTCTGAAGAAGCTAACTCATCCTCAGCTTCTGCTGCTAGGTGAGATGGATGAAACAGCCCTAGGAGGCCATGTTTTATGTGATATATCAATGTCTTCCTCCTGCTACTGACTCCTGATCAGAGCTGAAGTAGGCTCCAGACCAAAGAACAGGTACCACAAGCCCTTCCATGAAAATGTATGCTGCTTGTCTTTTTACCCATGGTCGTGAATAAAGCAATCACAATGATTCTACCGATGCCGAGGCTCGTTTTGGGCCTGGTCACAAGTTCAGAGTCTTGTGCTGGTAGGTTCCAGTGGAATTAGACCTTAGATGAGACGAAAGTACAACAGGGAAGCCAGGGGACCTACCTGCTATTCCCAGGTCTGCAAACAACTAATTCTTTGACTTTTTGACAAGTCATTAACCTCTCTGGGTGTCAGTTTTCTCACACCAAAATAATGGCAGTATCAATCATGTCCACCTCACTGGGATGTGGGGGCAATCACAGAAATATACAAATACAAAAACATATGAAACAAAGTATAAAGAGGTATTATGATGAACTTTTATCACTGTAAATTTTATAAAAAATGGCAATTCCCATGTTGCTACAGCAAAGAAAATTCTAGTTGTGCTATATTAAAAAGAGTAGATTATCTTAAATCTAGTTTTTATATTTATGGATTTATCAAATATGCTTATAAATTCAAGGACTCTGAATTTGCAAATTCCAGTGTGAGGAAATTGGGGGTGTGGTAGTGAGGAGGCCAGGGAAATGTCTCAAGGGGAGCACTGTAGGATAATGGAATCAGGAGACCTGGGTGAACCCCGGCTCCTCTACAGGTGAAGCCAAAAGGTGGTTTCACATGTCTGGTCTCAGTTTCTTGTCCACAAATAAGACTAACATCACTTGTTCAGTAGGATTCTTACCAGGTACCCCTACAATATTGTATATGAAAAGTCCTAGGAGAGTAGAGATGCCTTTGAAGAAAGGCATGGGAATCTGGGCTTCCATGCAAAAACTCCCCAAGGTCTTGAACTTTAGGCATTTTGATGAATATTCTAGATGGACCTGGAAAATGGTTAATGGCAAGCATGTAGTATTATGATGTGACTCAGATCTGTGCCATAGGGCAATAAGAAATCTTGGGAAATGCAAAAATTGCTGTGACTCGAATATAAAGCAAACGAAACATAGTTATTTTCAACAATTGGTAGAATGCAATTAAAGAGCATTCATTTGACTCAATGTTTGAAAACCTCTCCCAGAGCAACAGAAGTTTAGTGACCTCTACGTATCCAGTCATCGGGTTGAGTCTTTCAGTGCATGGGATGCACATAATCATAAAAGAGAAGCATTGCTTAGTAATGGCAGTATTGACCCATAGATAAAGCATAGAAGACTTAACTAAGATGGTAAGCATTGTCATATGAACGGGATAAAAGACTAATTTTTTTTAAAAGAGTAGAAAAGAGAAGGGAGGAAAAGAACAGAGGAATCACTTTTTCATCTTACTTAGTGAGAGTCAAATTTACTCAGTTAATTATTAAAACAAAAATTATATATACATATATAGTATTGAAATAAAGATGCAAATGTATTATTTAAAGACAGCAATATAACAAAATTTATGGGAGGGAAATGGATTGTCTTTCAGAACAGAAAGTCAATAGCTATTATCTAAAATTAATGATAATAATAGCAGCAAAAGTAATAACTAACATTATTTAGCTCTATCTGCGTCCTAGGTATTGTTCTATGCCCCGTATAGGTATTAACGTTTTTGTTTTTGTTTTTGTTTTGAGTCAGAGGAGTCTTACTCTCTTGCCCAGTCTGGAGTGCCGTGGCACACTTACGGACACCTCAACCTCGACCTGCTGGGCTCAGGCGATCCTTCTGCCTCAGTCTTCCAAGTGTATTAACTTATTTAATACTTAAAATAGCCTTATGATGTCAGCATATTTTTTTCCATGTTATAGGTAATTGGGGCAGAAAGGGGTTAAGTAAATACCCAAGATCACAAAACCAAAAAGTTGCAAGACCACAAGTTTGAACATATTATTTATAGTCATGGAGATATAAATAGCTAAAAAAAATTAAAACACAATACATTGAAGATGATGGCCTCTGAGCTGGGGTGGTAAAGATTAAAGTGAAAGAGAAAAACTTTTAGTGATCTGTTAATATTATCTGACTAGGTAATTTTTGACTGCCTTCCTGAATAATTATATAATAATACGAAAAATATATCAATGTGTACTATAAGGGAATAGAGAGCATGAAGAGCAGATCCATATCTTCCAACTTCTGGATGACTTTCATGAGGAGAAGCGATTAAATTGCTATGAGTGTCCTGAAGGGGAAAAGCTTAGGCCAGTGTGTGAAAGGTACAGAAAGAGTGAGATCCCAGGTCCAAAAAGAGAATTAACAGGCAAATCTGTCCACAGATGGAGTCTCATACAGCACCTGGATGACCATGTGGTGTGTGTGCAGGAAAAGAGACTCCAGCCCCAGACGGGATTGGAACAGACGCTGACTAGTCTCTTCCAAACCTGAGAATTGTGTGTCTCTTATCTTCACAGAAATTTCCAAATGTAAACCAGAATTAATTTGAATCAGAAACACAAGCTCAAGGCTCAGTTCCATAAAATTCCAGGAGATGCCCAAGGAGAATCAGCCAGGTTCAGCATTTCTGAAAAACAAACTATAAATAAGCCCAGAATTACACACCAAAGCTTCTACTTATATTCTGTCCTACAATTTCAGGATTTTTTTTTTCAGTTCATTCTCATCCTCAGACGAACAGTCCACATTGAATCTATGGCCAAGAATAATCTCACCACAGTAACTGAATTTATTCTTATGGGCTTTATGGACCACCCCAGTTTGGAGGTTTCTCTCTTCCTGGTGTTTCTCAGTTTCTATCTAGTCACCCTTCTGGGGAATGTGGGGATGATTGCTCTGATCCGAGTAGCTGTCCAGCTCCACACCCCAATGTATTTCTTCCTGAGCCACCTTTCTCTACCGGACACCTGTTACACTTCAGTCATCACCCCTCAGGTCCTAGCCACGCTGGCCACAGGCAGAACGGTCATCTCCTACGGTTGCTGTGCAGTCCGGTTCTTCTTCTTCACCATCTGTGCAGGCACAGAGTATTTCCTGCTGGCAGTGATGGCCTATGACCGTTTTGCCGCCATTCGCAACCCACTGCTCTATGCTGTGGCCATGAATCTCAGAATCCGCTGGCGTTTGGTGATGGGAGCCTATGTCTGTGGGGTGTCAGGGGCCATCCTGCGTACTGTGTGCACCTTCACCTTCTCCTTCTGTGACAACAATCAAATCAACTTTTTCTTCGGTGACCTCCCATCCCTGCTGAAGCTCACCTGCAGTGACACAAGACACATCGAGATTGTCATTGTCTCCTTCGGCAATTTTGTGATTTGGGCCAATGCTCTGGTCCTCCTGATTTCCTACCTGCTTGTCACTAAGGCCATTTTGAGGGTGAAGACTTTAGGTGACAAAGCCAAGGCTTTCTCCACATGTGCCGCCCACCTCACTGCTGTGGCCCTTTTCTTTGGGACCCTCGTCTTCATGTATCTGTGGAGCGGCTCAGGCAAATCCCTGGAGGAGGACAAAGTCGTGTCTGTCTTCCACACAGTCGTCATCCCCATGCTGAAGCCTCTGATCTACAGCTTGAGAAATAAGGATGTGAAGGCTGCCTTTGGAAAGGTCACTGGGAGATTCCAGGTGTCCCAGAGCATGTAAATCTGAGTGAGAGGAACTCTTGTTTTAGTCAACTTTTTTTCCTTATCAACAGACACCAGCATTATATGCAACCTAGATCCATAAGCAGAGAGAAGATAGACGGTAGAAGGTGCCGCCAGGCACACAAGAGAAACTACAAATGCAGTGAAACTTGTTTCCAGCAGTTCCACAGTACTTTCCTCTTATCCCCCTCTCCTCCTTCCAGTTCATTCCTTAGCACCCAGCAGTTTCTTGCTACTCCATGACATCACAACGTATAGAATCTCAGATGCCCGAGGAATCTTGAGTTTATTTCATCCCTCCCTAATACTCCTTGTACCCATGCCTGGGCTTGCCATCCGTTCACTCTTCTTTTGGCTCCTATCAATCCTGCCTTTTTCTCTGTGTCAGAAATTATATCAGGGGTCCCTGTGAATTATGCTAATTGGCCTTCTTTTCTTTTATTATGTGAGGGACTGATCATCTCAATAAGCAAGGACAAAAGTGAGTTTCCAAATGGCCAAGTGAAGAAAGCGTTTGAGAAACAAGCTTCCCTCCTCACCATTGTAGAGACTTTAATCGCTCTCAGAGTGTCTTCCTTCTTGCTCAGGCAAGAACAATGGAATTTTCAAACTACCTTACCTCTTAATAACTCACTGTTTTGTGGCTCCTGTTTTAATGTTACTCTGCTATCTTCAAGAGGAACTGAGCCATTTACTTTTGGGAATGTCTCCTCAAAGGTCAACTCCAGTTTTGACGGACATGGTGCATTGCTTCTTCTTCTCACCCTCTCATCCTTCTCATGAACAGTTCTCTCCTGCCAAGCATCCTTTTTCCAGGAATAGCAACATCAGAAAACACAGGCAGATAGAGAGAGACAATTGAACTCTGTGTTATCTTCTCTTTAACAAAGACTCGGTGAGAGTGGAAAGCAACTGTAACTCTTGTACCAGACTGCAAAACCCTTGAGAGCAGAAATTTTTCTTCATTGCTTAGTCCAAAATCTAGACCAGATGAGCTCTCAATAATCGTGTTTGAAAGAATTTTTATGGTACATGCATGTTCCTATCATGACAATCCTTTAAGGCAAATAAGGAAAACATGGTTAAATATAAAATTCTCATTTTGTAATTAGGAGTCCTCATGATTCAGAGTACTCAGAATACACTACAGTAGACAGTGCATGGGGTCTGGCTTTAATCAGAATCCTGATTCTACCACTAATTTATTGTGAGACTTTGAGTAAATGATTTGATTTCTCAGGTCTAAAACAAGCATAACAATTCCTAATGCAGGAGGATAGTATAAAACTTAAACAAGGTGCTGAATAAGAAATCTCCTAGCACTGATCAGGGGCTCAATATAGATTGTTCTCTTCTCTTCCCATTCCCTCACTTTCTGCTGTCAACCCTGGGTCTGGCCATAATTCTGTGGCCACTGACAAAAAATTGAAATTGATCAAGGACCGGTGATAGCGAAAGTCGGTGAAGGATGTGAACTGAGAAAGATGAATAAGTCAGTCCTTTGCACCAAAAATAAAACAAATTTGAATATTTAACTAGGGAGGTGGGGTGCATTTATCTGTAACCCACATAGTCAAGGATAATAAAATAATGTATTTTAATTGAATGCATTATTTTGTGAGTATATGAACCCCTTTACCCCTTTTTATTTTTATGAAAAGTTGATCCTCCTTGCCCCTCTATATGGAAACAATAATTTTATTGAAATGACCTACCACACACCCTGCAGTTGACTGATTCAGAGACTGCTGTGTTAGGCTAAGAAATATTTTCCATGGTCATCATGAAGCTGAACATTTAAAAGAGATTCAGAATATGAAACCAGTTAACCAAGATAGAGAGTATCCAAATAGCTACTAGACCCATGAAGAGATGCTTCTTCTCATTAGCAATGAGGAAAATACACATTTAAAACCACAAGATGCTCACTAGATTAGCAAAAATTTAAAAGAATGATGCCACCGTGTTGACAAGGATATGAAAAATGGGTGGTAAAAATTGGTTTAGCAACTTCTTAAAACACTTTGGCGTTATCCTTTAGAAATAAAAGATATATATAACCAATGGCCCGACTATTCCGGTGACCTGTACACACTGGATAAACTCTTGCCTATACACACCAGAATATGGGTACAGAATGTTCATAAAGCATTGTTGTAATAGCACAAAACCCAAAACGTTTTCCTTCAGTTTTTCATTCTTCTGGCCTGGAGCATGGGATGTGATGGCTGGAGTCCTGGCAGCCATTATGGATCAAAGTAATGCCTAGAAGGCAACAGAGCAGAAAAATTAAAAAGCCTAAGCCCCTGATGATATTTTTAATCCATCATATGGGCCCTGGGCTGCCTATCACCAGGCTTCTTCTATGCAAAAAAGAAACACTTATCTTATTAAAGAAAGCAGCTAGAAATTTTTTTTTTTCCAAAAATAGGCTAAACAAAATTATATTGTTAGGAATAAATACACAGGTGATAAACCTTTCAATTAAACAAGTAAATTATTACAGCCACAACCAAGGCATAAAGGGGACGTTGGGAAGGGTGAGGGAAGGATGAGGCCCTCATAGGGCCTCATAGGAATCTGGAGAGGAGAAATATTTGATTGATCTTGGTCTAACAGTAATTGCCTAGGCATTTGTCTTATAATTTTTTGTTAGCTGTATCCATTTTATGTACTTCTTTGCATGTCTGTTCTATTTCACAACAAAAAAGCAAACAAATAAATATGCAAACCTCCTAAATATGGGAGCCTGAGTCATGAGTTCCATGCCCATGTCAGTCAGTGTCATGTACCCCCTTTCCTCGGTGACAACACACTGAAGTTTAAGGGGCACTAAGAAGCTTCTCCTCAATAATGACTTTTCTCCACTCTGCTGTTGTTACCCATTTTCTGCCATTAGAGCAGTCTTTCTTTTTATTTATTTTTAACTGACAAATAAAAACTGTATACATTTATGGTGTACAACATTACGCTTTGATACACACATACATTGTAGAACTGCAAAGTCAGCTGATTAACATTCATGTTACCTCCCATACTTAACATTCTTATCATTTGTTGTGGTGAGAACATTTAAGATCTGCTCTCTTAGCAATTTTCAAGTATCCATTTTTGAAGCAGTCTTTCTTTATTTCAAGGACAGATATCCTGTAGGACTGAACATTTATCCCAGAGAATATTTTGGAAGGCAGGTGGTTAATCTGAAGCCAGCCTGGTGCTCAAGACAGCCACGGTGTAAGAAGGAAAGGAAAGCCATGCCGGCTTATGGAAGAGCTGCCTAGGAGGAGTTCAGCCAGGCTTCCTAGAAGTGGTGAGACTCAAACTGGGTCTAGAAGGAAGCGGAATTCTTGAGCAAACCAAGCTAATAGGTGAGACCAACCTGATCAAGCCCATCATAGCTGGAGGGTCCCAATCTCCTCCTCTTGACTATATTCACCACCACTCTGACCATCTCACACCACTACTAGCCAGCTGAGAAGCTGGGTGACCTCAGGTGAGACACACACCTCTCTGGGTATGCTTCCTTATCTGAAGCGTGTTAAAGTGGGTCTTGAGTCTCTCTCCATTTTAGTGCTGAAGGAAGAGGCATGGAGGTGACAGCTCCCATTCCCTGAAGAGCACACGGAGGAACAAGGGAAATGTTGTCATTCAGGGTCTGCCACTTACCCTCCTGAGACTTTTAATCCCCAGGTCTGTTGTTTGCTTACCTAGATGAAGAAAGGAAAATATGATGCCCCTGCAGTCAGCTCTAACTGAAGGGAGCTGGCTTCTCCCAGAAATTGGAAGTCTTGTCAGACTTATTAATTTATGGTTCACAGGCAAGTCTGGGCTCACCCAACCCCCACTGAAGGCAGGTAAATCATCACAATGAATTGTACAGAAAGAGAGAGAGTCTCTCTGTCTCTCATTTATCATTGGCTTTTAACATAAGCATCATCTTAGGTGATATCCACAGGATGATAATACCACCAAAGGATTCAATTGGATCCGAAAACCCAATGTTAAAAAAAAAGTTGATCCTAATTGGGTTGCATAAGCAAGAAGGCAAAACAGTTAGCCACCTGGAGGACCAGTGAGGTTGCAAGCTCTGAACTTCACCCAGCAATGTAGCATAAAACTAGGCACATAGTCTAGCCTTGCTACCTGCCGGAGGTGTGTTCAAAGATGGGTTTCCAGCATATTCATAAAATCAGTTGAAGGAATATTGGCCAACTGCATATTCTAGAGCTTTCAAATCCTCACAGCAGCAACCTCCTTGGACCTGCTCAGAAAACAGTAGGGAATATTAACAGTACTTCACAGAAATCCCTCGCAGGAGCACAAAGACCAGTGATCTCCCTACGAGGTAATGTAAACTATATGACGTTGAGAGAGAAAATGTATTCCAGAGACTACTGAATGTGCTTTCCAAAGTTTTAAACATAATTCAAACTTTATCAGTATGACCTTTTAGACAAGTTGTTTATCTTATCCAACCTTCCATTCTGTCTTTCAAAAAGCAAGCACAGAAACGCGTACCTTACTGAGGCTGTAATCAGTAACACACTTGTCAACTGCAAGGAACAGTAGTTGACATTGAGGTATTATTGCTCCCCTGATGCCACACTATCACCAAGTGCTCAGAACATGAGCTGAGAATAAGCCCAGCCCTCTCTGAGAAGGTTGTCTCGGCTGGTGGGGTCAGAGAGAAAGACATTTGTAACAAGCTTTTGAGAGGACAATGTGGAAATGGATGTTTTAGGAAGAGAGATTACAATAAGAAAGGTCATGAGTTGGAAAATGCTGTCTCCCGGCCTCTGAGTGTCCCAGCTGCCCTGCAGCAATCCTCCATGTCTGTAGCTCTATCTTGACTTCCATTTTCTCCTCTGCCAAATGAAGAAAATAGTAGACCAGATGCAATCTTTTTTTCTAACAACGGAACCCTGTTTCCAAACAAATGAAATGGAGCACCTTGTTCTTTAAAAGAGTTAGAAAAATTCTGGGACTGAGATGGCAGCA